TGAAATGCATTAATTGATCATTTGTGGGAAGAACATACTAATTCGAAAAATTAAATTACTATTAATATGAAATTTTACCTTTGTGTTGTTGTTGTTGTTTTTTTTTTTTTTTTTTGTATCATTTTATATTAGATGTAATGTTTATTTGATTAAATAAATGCTTAATTTTATTAAATTAGTATAATTTTCAAAATAATTATTATCTAATAAAAATATCATTCCCAATATTTAATTAATATATATAAAAATAATGAGTGAAATAAATTAATTATTGATTATTACAATAAAAGAAAAAAAAATATTCTTTTTAGTGTAATATTTGATATTATGGGTTAGAGATAGAATAGTATTTTGTACCAAAATTTGTATCAATTTGGTGCAATTTTGCACCAAATTGATGCAATGGGTTGGAATTAGTCCTTCCCGCCATCTTGTTACACCAAATTATTCAATTATTAATACAATTTTTTTTTAGAGAATGATAAATTTGGTATTTAATTGGTTGGTGGGAGTTGGTTAACTTCCAATATTGCTTTCATGACGAACCAAAATCCTGATTCTCTTCTTCTTTAACTTGCCTTTTATGTCACATCATCTTTAGCATTTACCATTTCAAATCTTAGTGGAGCTTATCATATTTCAACATTTGGTTTTATCACTAGTATTAGTTGAGGAGTCTCCTCCAGTGGGTGATTGTAAACAACTCATCTTCACAAAAAAATGAAAATTGCATAAATTGTGGAGGTGTAACTGTAAAAATTGCAAACTGGAGTGAACAGTATGGGTACCTATAAGTCCACGCGTACTCGATAGGGTAGGGTACAAATCCAATATTTTAGACCTGTTGAGAATCGACCCATTTTGGATCAGTACCCGTTGGGGGTCCATATCCGACCCACCCGCTCATTTTGCCAGGTCTGCTAATAAATGAGATATTTTTATAAGATTTTTCTAGTTCCAAGGCCTATTATTTGGGCTAGATAAATGGGTTAAATATGGGCTTTACATTAGGCCTAGTAAGAAATATTAAGCTAGCAATCTATATGGGTTTAAGTGATAAACCCAAATAGTCCTGGGTCCAAATAAGTTTAATATTCAACAAGCTTTAACCAAAAATCTAACACTAAATTAACATCATGGATTTAAAATCACCAAGTCAAATAACATATTAACACATTCCAAAAATTTAAATATATCATAGTTATTAGGGTTGTTGGTTCGGGTACCCTGCCACTTTTTGAAGGAACGAACCGGAATCAAACCACGGTTCCTTGAAATTTGGAACCAGAACCGAACCGACGGTTCGAGTTCTTAGGTACCCAGAACCATTGTAACAACGGTTTCGGTTCCGAATCTGGTACCCTGTAATTCTTTGCCCCCAAAAGTTTTTAAATGACAAAAACCCTTAAAAACTTAAATACCGCCCCCACCTGCACTTGTTAACAAAAATAAAATTACAAATTACAAATTATAATTCAAAATTCAAATTCAAACTCCATTACTTTGTAAAGATTCTCAAAAGTCAAACCAACTTACTTTAATGTTATGAAATATAATATATGTATTCACATTATTTTTTCTACAAAAGTTTTTATTAACCCCCTAATATTTAATTTAATTTTATATTAGTCTTGATTCCTGTTCCTGGTTCCGGTTTCGATTCCTACTATAGAATTAGAACCGGAACCGCACAATAACGGTTCCAAAAATTTGGAACCGGAACCTACCCATTGATGATTGGTTCTGGGTAGGAACCAGAACCAAATCCAGGGTACCCCCGTTTTTGGTTCCAACCGGTTCTTTGAACACCCCTAATTAGTTATATAGTATTTTTTTAAAAAAATTGTTGTCAATTTGTAGTTGACTTTTTTCTAACTCTCTCGCTTTCTTCTTGCTAAGTGTACCGAACATAGAACAAAGTAATTTACTTGTAATTATAGGAGCCACATTTTGTTAAGCAAATTTGGGTGGCACAGAGAAGACATATAGGGTGACTGAGTAAAAATAGGTTATTATGATTTCCAGTATAGCCGTTATGGTGAAATCATAGACACGCTGCTCTTAGGAAGCAAGCTAGAGCCTCTGGTTCGAGTCTGATCTTGGCGGCAGAGCATCTTATAAAAGATAAAAAGATATATAAAAGCCCTATAATGAATTTAACTTATGATTTTCATTCCGTATACTAGAAAGACTCTCCTTTTAATTGATTTTTATTTACATATTTTCAGAATGCAATTAAAACGGTTAGAAGGAAATAAAGTTCTAAGTCTGGAAAAAAATCCAACTACAAATTTAGTGAAGCTTGCAATGTGCAAATTGTTAAAGATCAACTTCCGTCCTCGTTGGTATTCAATGGTGGATTTTGTGATTTTTTAGAAGCTACACACTTTACTTGTAACCAGTTGATAGGAACCACCCGGCTTGTCGGTTGAACTGGTTCAATAGTGACCCGCCGCCTGTACAGACTCGGTTACAAATTTTTCTATTCATTAAAAACTCTAGAAATTAAGACATCAGTCCATGAACAATCGAAGGCTGAAAAGTTAGGGCTTTTGAAGAGGAATGACCGGTGAGTAGAATGGTGGCAACAATGTCGATTTTTGGTGAGTGAATTGATTAGAAATTGCAAAACTATGTCACCCGGAAATCGTAAAACAAAGCCAATTGTCACCAATGATGGGAGTGGCGAATGGGGAGGGGTGAGATGGGTTTTCGTAAGGAGGCCGGGGAAGTGTTTTCGTGATGATGGGGATTGTTGTCGTCGCCAGAAATAGCCCTATTTGCCGATGTCGATGGTGGGGTTTTGGGGTGTTTGCAAGATTTCAAACCTATTGGGACTTACATAATTTTAGGGTAATTTTGTTAGATTTCAAACCTTTAGACACTGGTTTACTATGAGTTAAAACGCTCGACCCATGACCCAGTGGCCTAGCCGGGTCCACTACAGGGTCGGTTTCTAATCACTGCTTGTAACACAATTATTCATTTTATCTAATAATTAGGATGACATACTATTTAAACTTATAAACATTATAATCATATCATAATCGAAGAAAAATTTTTTTATAACAAAGATATATCATCAATCACTCATGCTCTCTTCCAAGCTTTGGAGGTGAGGGTACCATGTTTCCCACTCTTTTACGAGTATGTTCGACATCATCTTATATTCATATTCTAAAGAAGATGTCCCCCAAGAATTAGATTCAATAAGTCAAATTTAAATTGTACCACATATACATTATTTTTGACTTCAATTCATTCCTTTTTTTTTTTTTTTTTTAATGACGGGGGGTGTTCAAGCAACTACGTGCACCTCAACTAACTTTTGAGCTCAGAAACTATCAGCCGGATAAGAGCTCAAGTGGCTATCGCTATTGGCACTCAAGGAGAGACTTGAACCAGGACCTTAAACAATATACCCAAAAGTCCTTATCAACCACTTGATCACCCAAAGGTAGTTTCTTCCATTCACTCTAGCTACAACTAAGGTGATTGGCAATTTTTAAATAAATATATATATGACATGAATTAAATAATTTAATCACAGAAGATGTAAAACCCATTATACATAAAAAATATAGTTAAAAAAGGTACTTGATATAATCAAAGTTCATTCTTCTCGATACCCTTACTAATTTATTCACAAGGGATTGTTGCTTCACCAGTTAATGCTTTTCTCACTGAAAAAAAAATTTAATTGTCCATTTTTCCAAAGAAACAATCATCAAAACAAAATGCCTTCTTCCAAAAGAAATTTCTAAGAGCCCTACAAAACTCAAAGCAGAGTGATTTTTTTTTTTCAAAGCCCAACTGTTACAGCAAGGTCAGGTTACCATCGCTACAGTTAAAACATTGACTGCAGTATCAAGAAATAAGAGTTGTTAAGTTATTCTGCCATGGTTAGTGTTTTTAATATGTAAAAACAAAAGACCACATAATGTTTATAGAGACAAGCATGTTAAATTCTTAATTTCAAAATATTCCAGAAATGGACTTATACTCACTTGTTTAAAACACTTTTTTTTTATCCAAAATAAGAAAAAACTGGTACAAAGCTATAGCCAAATAAATTTTTTAATTTTTATAATTTATTATATGTATCCAAAATTATTTCAATTTTTTTTACAATAGCTAGAATAGATTATTTATTATATAATATTCAAGGTTATTTATTCTAATAAGTATTCAATTCTCTAATCTTTTAATATTTTTGGGTAGAATTCATTCTGTATCATTTTTTCTTTTTGTTTTCACACCCTTTTTCTTCATTTCTAAATTAGTAAAGAATAAAAAATTCTGTGATTCTCTTCTTAATAAAGATTATAATAAATTCAATTATAAAGTGAGTATATATATATATTATGTATACTCAAAAACGTTTTAACTCCCGAAAATTTATTTTCGGTTCACATATCATTTAGATTTTTTTTAATTTTGATCTACTTTCAAAATTTGAAATTATAGAAAGATAAAAAACTAATAAGGACAAAGAACTTTATATAATAAACATACTATTTGCTTCTCGAGACATTTATATATATTCCAATTTCAATTAAAATTCTGGTATTTTTTTTATCTTAATAAATTATAAAACTTACCATACTAATAATACTACAAATACAAATTTATTAACCAAACTGATATAGTGAGATATGATTTGTGGAATTCTAGAAACAAAGAATAAACTAAACAGCTGAAATATATGATATGGTTGGTAGTCATATTTAGAGCTGTACTCGATCTATTACATGCACGGGCAATTTGTGTGCGTATATATATATATTTAAAAAGAGATATGCTGATATCCATAAAAGTTAAGTATATATGAAATCATCTCTGTTTAATTGCCATTTATTATGTTCGATACCTCTCTATCTTCTTTCACTTCAATGCAAAAATACTCATCTTATTTATTTCTTTAACATAGCAAAATACCTGAAACAAACCATGATTTATTAACATTAATATCTTTCTTTTTGTTCTCTTATGTTTTACAAGAAAAAAAATAGTCCATCTTTCCGATCTTTACAGAATTAAGCAACAATTTGTAAAGCAGTCAATTTCTGTTCCAAGCCATGATTTCACTGCAACAGGTACCGATATACCTTCCTCTTTCTCTTTGGATTTGTGCGTACACTTTCCATTATTTGTTCTTCCATGTTTTCATAGTACTATTAGTTTTTATTTGTTATTTTTTTGGTTTCTTGATTTTGTACTTGTAGTTGGAGAAAGAAGCAAAACCAATTCAAACTTACTACAAATCAGCGACATATTCAAAACAAGAAGTTAGCTACCCTGAACGAGATATCCCCACCGACGCAACCTTTCATTATAAAGAACTTGCTGCTAAGAAACATAGTGAGGCTGAACGGAGAAGACGACTTCGAATCAATGGCCAGTATGCCACTCTTCGGACCATCTTACCCAACTTAGTCAAAGTAAGTAAATATTTCAGAATGAATTAACTCAAAAAAAAAAAAAGGGTAATTTTTTTTTATCAACTTTACCACTAGTACATCAGTTTTTATAGTTTTTTATTATTTTTATTTTTTGAAAAGTGATATCTAATTTTTACAGAAAAGACATCAATTTTTATGACGAGTGGTTAATTAATTTACGTATAGGGATTACATGCGTAGAGTTTATAATTAACAACGGATGAAAAAATTAATTTAAACAACAGACGGACAAGGCATCCGTGCTAGAAGAGACGATTAAAAGCGTGAGGGAGCTGCAGAAGACGGTCAAAGAATTAAAAACAGTGGGTCGAGATCGCCACAAATGTGAATTCCCCAATGAGGTGAATGAGTTGAACTTAAGCTACTCTAATGGCGATGGAGGGTTGGTAAAAGCCACGTTGAGTTGCGAGGATAAGCCGGGATTATTGTCAGACATAGGGAGAGCGCTAAGGTCAGTGAAAGCAACGGTGTTGAAGGTTGAGATGGCGACAGTGGGTGGTAGAGTCAAATGTGAATTGTTGATTCAAGGATTTAAAGGAAATGAAGGCATGGTAATACTAAAGAGGGCCTTAAAAATAGTCATAGATAAGCCAAGTTTGCCAGGAAATTATGGTAAGAAGATTTGTTTCTATAAGTGATTATTTTACACTTCATAATGGTGCATGATATATAGATCACTTATAAGAGTTACATCTCCAAAAGTTAAGTTTCATTATAAATCTATAGAATGATATGTTATACAAAAATCCTGTACTTTTTATTTATTATAAGGCAATATAATCATGCCAGTTTAAAGAGTATAAATTCTTGTTCACACATTCCCGAACGATCGATGTAATTGTCTCAATTGTCGTAGTTATAATTACTACATGCAGCGTAATAAAAGAATTAAAATCAGTTAAAGAAATATTTACGACATTGTTAAATCATGTAAAAAACTAGAGAAAAATGATAAGCAATCTACAGTGTAAATTTTGTGTGTCTATATTCCACGGGAATAGCACAAATATATACAAAGGTTGGTGTTCTAAAATAGGAAGATAAATATATTACAATATTCTACCTATTCTAAAGTAGGAAGATAAATATATTACACATAATGAGATTGATCACAAGAATATTTCTCAATACTCCCCCTCAAGTTAGTGAGTGAATATCATGAAGTCCCAACTTGCCACTTAAGTAATGGAATTGTTCACTTCCCATAGGTTTGGTGAAGATGTCCGCAATTTGTGAACGTGATGGGACATATGAAGGTGCTATTACTCCGTCTTGTATTTTCTCTCTCACAATGTGACAATCTATTTTAATACGCTTTGTGCATTCATGAAAAAAGGGATTTTTGGCAATGTGAAGAGCCACTTGGTTGTCGCAAAACAAAGAGGCCGGTAGATTTTGTGGTACTTTGAGATCTTGCAAGATATATCGTATCCACATAATTTCCAAACATGTTGCAGCCATAGCTCGATACTTTGCTTCAGCGAAAGATCGAGCTACATTAGCTTGTTTCTTTGATTTTCAAGAAATTAAGGAATTTCCCAGAAAGACACAAAATCCTGTAATAGAATGTCGAGTCGTCGTACAACCAGCCCAATCTGAACTACAGTAAGTCCTCAATGTGAGATCATTACAGGAAGGAAAAAAATAATCCTTGACTAGGATTACCTTTAATAAATCGTAAAACTCTCAGGGCAGCTTCCCAATGTAGTTTCCATGGATTTTGCATGAATTGACTTAGGATCTGTACAGAATAAACTATATCCAGCCTTGTCATCGAGAGGTAAATCAATCGCCCTACCAACCTTCTATATTTGATGGGATCTTGCAATAAATCGCCATCCTCAGGATTTAATTTTAAATGTTCCTCCATTGGAAAAGAATTGGGACGAGATCCAAGTAATCCTGTATCTTTCAAAACTATCTAATGCATATTTTCGTTGAGAGATAAAAATTCCTTTTATGGATCGAGAAACTTCAATGCCAAGAAAGTATTTTAGATTACAAAGATCTTTGATACGGAATTGTTGCAAAAGATAATCCTTGAGGGACTTAATTACTTTTTCATTATTGCCTGTCACAATAATGTCATCTACATAAATAAGCACTACAATAAATGAGTTCCCTACGGATTTGGTGAATAAGGAGTAATCGACCTTTGACTGGGTGAAACTTGCCTTTTGAATGGCGTGAGAGAATTTTGCGAACCAGTTGCGGGAAGCTTGCTTTAAACCATATAAGGATTTATTGAGCCGACATACCATATTCTCCCCTTGTCGGCAAAGACCTCCAATGATGTGAAGCGGCAATGGATATAAGACAACAACTAGTGGTGATTTTGGCGGTAGGGGAAAAGGTTTTGAGATAATCAACTCCTTCAATTCGGGTGTAACCCTTAGCAACAAGACGGGCTTTGTACCACTCTATAGAACCGTTAGAATTATATTTAATCTTGTAGACCCACTTGCATCCAATGGGCTTATGATTGGCAGGTAGAAGAGCCAAGGTCCAAGTGTTATTGTGTATAAGGGCATCAAACTCAGCCTGCATAGCATCTCTCCATTTGGGATCAAGGACTACCTGAGAATAGTTAGTGGGCTCACAGAAACCAGAAATATTAGCAAGAAAAGAAAAGTGAGAAGGGGGATAGAGTAGAAGTGGGATTGGGTTCAGTGGATTTTGGTGGTGAGGAGGGTGTTGGTGATATCGACGGGGAGTTGTCAACAAGAGGGCTTTGGGTGTGAGATGGGTTTGATGTGGAAAAGTCAAAATCAGAGGCATTGGCGAGTGGAAGTTGTGGGGATACAGTTTCTAATGACTGGTGGGTGGGTATTGTACTATAAGGAAAAGTTTGTTCATGAAAGCACACATCTCGATTGACAAAAATTTTTTTGGTTTCTAAATCAAATAATTTGTATACTTTTTGTCCTGTAGGATAGCCAACAAAAATGCAACGACAAGCATGGGGGGCAAATTTGGGAATAGGATGAGTGATAGTGGCATAACACAAACAGCCAAAAACATAGAGATGATCATAAGATGGTGGATGACGGTATAATCGTTCAAAAAGGATAATATTTGAAAGTAATGGCATGGGCAAATGGTTAATTAAATAAATTGTGGTTAATACACATTCACCCCAAAAACAAATTGGAACATTATATTGAAAAATTAAAGCACGGGCGACCTGTAAAATGTGATGATGCTTGCGTTCGACAACTGCATTTTTTGTGGAGTATAAACACAAGACTGTTGAAATTCGACTCCATTTTGAAGAAAAAAAGAATGCAGAGAAAGAAATTCTCCACTATTATCACTACGACCGATTTTAATGTGAGAATGAAATTGAGTGGAAACAAAATTAAAAAAAGGTCATGAGCAATTTTGGAGCATTAGATTTATGTGACATAAGAAATAACCGTGTGTAACGACTGAAATCATCAACAATGGTGAGGAAATAACGTGCACCTGAATGTGTTGTTGTTTATGTGGTCCCCAAATGTCGCAATGTATTAATTGAAATGGTAAAGTAGACGAAATTGTACTAGATTGAAAAGGTAGACGAGTTTGTTTTGCTAGCGGACAAATATTACAATTATTTGAAAATTGATTGTCAGTAATAGAAACAAACTTAGAGATGGAGTGCAAGCGGTGATGACCAAGACGATAGTGCCAGGTGGTATTGGTGGTGGTGGTAGAACATGTTGTAGGTGACTTGCGGGCTGGTGACATGAAATAGAGACCGCCACTTTGCTTACCCCAACCAATCATCTTCCCCGTAGCCAAGTCCTACAAAACGCAAAAGCCAGGGAACAACATCACACAACAATGTATTGACTTGGTGATTTTACTGTCAAATAAAAGGTTTAGACGAAAAGAAGGCAATGAAGAACATCTTGTAAAATAATATATTTATTGAAAAGTATTGTGCTAGTAGAATCAATGGGGACATTAGAACCGTTAGGTAAATTGACAACAGGTGTGTTAAGTGGATGTGAGTGAGCAAATAAGGTGGGGTCTAAAGTAATATGGTATGTGGCACCACTATCTATAATCCAACAATCTGAAAAAATAGAGTGAGTAGAAGGATGTTTGTGCAGACCTGCTGTATTGGTATAATCATCAATATTACTTTTGGATGTGTTGCCATATTGGCCATGGTAGTGGTCAATTGTTGGTATTGCTCCGTTGAAAGGCCTGGAACTATCTCCTGCAAATAAGTGTTGTTGGTGACATGGGAAGCAGGTGCATTCTGATTGTTGTGGAAAGATTTGTGAGAATTGGCATCAATTCTGACTTGAGACTCAGTTGGTGTGATAGATGTTGCATGTGCCTCGTGAAACTGGTTCGATTGTGAGCTTTGATAGCTGCTGGTCATTTGGTGTGCCTTGCAAACCCCACGTTATTATTCCGATGCCCTAAGGTATGAAATTTTCCTTTTCAAGTAATTTTCTTTTTTTTTTGAATGGAAGGGTAAAATGGTCAATTTACATGTATTTCGAGATGTGGCCATTATAAAGTGTGAGGGGTGATGTCATTGAAGAGAAATGAGGGTAGAATGGTCATAAAGTTGATTGATATGGTTAAATGGCGTAAACGGTAACCAAGGGTATAATTGTCTTTTCATATAAATCTATAAGAATTAAGTATCCATAAAAGTGCACTAAGGGTAAATTAGTGATTTACCTAGTGGGATTGCTTAATTGCTAAGTGTTTAAAAGAAGTCAAATGGCATTAAATGAGTGCTAATCATTATGTTGTGGTAGAAATGACCAAAATGCCCTTATATGAAAAATTTATGCCAAATGACCCTTATATCTAACTTTTATTGACCAATCATAATAGAGTAACAATGGAATAAATATTTAAAAGGTTTTAAGAGAGAGTGGTCGACCTTGTACACACCAAGTGCATCATCTTCTTCTTCCTCTCTCAAATCCACCATAAAAACCACTAATCCAAGCATTTTATTCTCAAATTTTCATAGGATTTCAAGTTGAATTTCGAAGGAGATCACCATCCACACTTTAAGAACTTCAATTTTAGGGTTTAAGGTGAGTTTCAAAACCCTAGTTGTTCTGATCTTTTAGTTAAAAGAGAGATTCATAAGTGGTTATGTGTGTAAGGTAGAAAGGGTGAACCTTTGGAGCTAAGGAGGAGTGTCCTTATGCTTTGAATCCTAAGGTAAGGAAAAAAATCTCTCTTATGACTACAATTGATAACACCTAGGGTTTATGAAACTTACATTTATTTATGTTAATATGAGTGTGATGCTATGTTTTGGTTATGGATTGTTTAAATGGGTGTGTTGATTGGTGTATGTGTGCATGTGAAGGATGATTATGCCAATTAAGAGATTTGTAGTTGGACGATGTTTTGGCACTTTTTGGTTCTGTAAAAAGGGAGGTTTTTATGGCCTTTTATACTTAGAATGATATGGCAAATGATATGAATGTGCAAATGAAGGTGACATGGTTAAAATGAATAGAATTCGGATTTGGCTTTTTGAGACTTATACTGTACATGCTTCACTGAATCAGTCATAACTGAAGTTATAGAAGTCTGATTGAGTTGATTCTTGAAGTGTTAAAAAGTTGAGAAACAGACCTAAAACGTTTATGTTTTGGCCAAAAATAAATTCGAATTAGAAGATAATGGAAAAATTGCTTGAAAGTAACGAACTGTATGGCATCCACCTTCTTAATGGAAATTCCCATTTGTTTCTAATTCTAATAAACCCCTGAATAATCTTACTACTGAAATTCCTTGTATTGTATGAGAAA